AGCGGGGACTGGCCGTCCTGGCATTCCTATAGGCCTACCACAGCATGTTCTTAGAACCCAAACATGTCCGAACAACAAAAACAGTGCTCTTAGAACATAAACACGCCGTGTTAAAACAAGACGGTCCTAGCCAGAAATGTTCTAACAACACTTCGTGCAGACCACACAAAGTTCTGAGAACATTCTGCGGGGGGCCTATAGGCGAGCCAGGACGCTTCGCCACTGCTTGAATTCTTGCAACCAGAAGAGGGGGCCCTGAGATCTGGGAGATACCATGGCCCCCGCCATGAGACCTACCCCCCCCCCCGGGTCATCACTCCCCTCTTCGCCGCCCCCGACTGCAAGGCGAGGCGCGTTCTGGAACGCGCCACGTAAGTCGGCGCCGGCATCCACCATGCCGGCCCAGGCTGGGCCTCAGCATGCCCAGCCACGGACAGGGTCTGGGCATTTTGCTCCGCGCGCCGCGGCGACGGCCCCCGGCGACACGCCATGCCCGGCGAGCGGATGGCGTGCAGCTCCGCTCCGCAGCGGGGCGGGAGGCCGGGAGAGGCTCGGGATGCTGACGCCAAGGGGCCCGGGCCGTGTCCAGCGCGTTGCGCCGAGACGCGGTGGGCCAGAGCCAGCGGCGCGGCACGCCAAGCTGCTTCTTGCTGGGGGTGGGGGGGGGGCACGCTTCTCCGCGCCGGGCCGGCTCGGAGGAGACCCCCCCAGGCCCCGAGAGGCCCTCTGCTCCGATGGGAGGCTTCTCCTCGGAAGGGCGGCCCCCCTCACCCGGGGGGCGCCCAAGAGGGGGATGAGCAGCTCATGGCCCGAGGCATGTCCGCGGACGAGTGGGAGACCAGGGGACGTGCTGAAAGAATGGGAGGGGGCATGACATCTGGGAAGAGATTGTGGCCCCCGCCATGAGATCCCCCCCTAGTCATCACCACCCTCTTGGATTGAGCAGGGATCGACCGCCCCGGCATCCCTAGGGGCGTACCGCGACATGTTCCCAGAACCAGGAAGTTGTCAAATAACAATAATAGTGCTCTTAGCACAGACACCCGAAGTGCTAAAACAAAACGGTCTCAGCCAGAAATGTTCTAAGAACGGTGGGGACAACAATAGGTTCCGATACCGCTACTCCCCGGACCACTCCCGGGGTGCCTCCTGACCAGAATTTCGAGGCGAATCCAGCGGTGACGACGAGGGGCCTCCGAGGAGGCCCCTAAACGGGAAATCGGGCGAAGGGTAGTGGTATGTGGGTACACTTGCCCCCTCCGAAACACTTCGTGCAGACCACACAAGGCTCTTAGAGCCTTCCTTGGTGGGCCTCTAGGCCAGCCAGGACGCTTCGCCACTGCTCGATTGGACGGCCCAAGACCGCTCGGCCTCCCCCCGCTCTCTCCCCTGCCGGCCTTCGCCCCGTCGACGAAGCGGCGCAGGCGCATGGCGGCCTTCTCCTCGGGGGTGGCCTCGGGTGCCGACTCGTCCTGCGGCTGGTCCTTGCCCTTCTTGCCCTTCGGGGCCTCCTTTCTCGGGAAATCATAAGGCACCGGTACCGCTGCTCCCCAGACCTCTCCTGGTTGTGTCTTCCGCATGTATTTTCGAAAGTCTGGCCGTGGAGCCGAGGGCATCCCAGGAGGCCTCCAAAAAGCGGACACGAGGCCGGGGCAGCGGCATCGGGACCTCCTCCTCCTCCTCCCGCTCCTTGCCCTTCTTCTTCGGCTCGGGCGCGGCCTCGGCGGACTTGTCCTCCAGCGACAGCACGTCGATCTCTGCGAGCGGCTCCCTGGGAGGAGGAGGAGGAGCAAAAAGAGGAGGAGGAGGGAGAGGGGTTGGAGGAGGAGGAGGAGGAGGGAGAGGAGGAGGAGGGAGAGGAGAAGGAGGAGGAGGAGGAGGAGGAGGAGGAAGAAGAATGTGCTCATGCCCACACTGCCGCGGGGCCGCGCCCCGTGGACTCGGGTGGAGGGCGGGTGCTGTGGATGTCTGCACGCCCATGCGGGCGGGCAGACAGAGCGGGCTCCGGGAGCCCCGAACCCCGAAGCTCGGCGGTGGACAGACCTCCCTTTAAAGAACCACCCTCTCTGGCGTTTCTAGCGAGAACGGCCCAGGACCGAAACCGACGGACCTGGACCCGCAGAAAAATGACGGCCGCGGCGCCCTCTCGCGAACCGAAACCGGCCAATTCGCTGATCGACGTGTCAGGGTAGGAGGTCTATTAACCTCCGAAAAAACCTTGCCGTCTTTGGGGGGTGCATCTTTGATTTCCGCTCTTGCTTCCGCCAGCGGAGCCGCCACCGTTTCTTTACCTCCGCCGTCTTCGGCGGCCCCTCTGCCGCCTCTTCCGCCGCGGAAGAGATACGGCAACTCCTTCGGTCCTCGAAGGCGCGGCCCCTTGCTGCAACGCCTCACATCCACATCGAACCATTCCAGTTAGTGAGCCCACAGAGGACGCACGCGCCCAACCACGTAATTCCGTGAACGCGGCCCCCCAGTCCGCGAGACCAGCCTCGTGACACGAACGCTTGCGCAATGCGTACCCTCGAAACCAACGCGGACTCGTGCACGTGTGAATGTGTGTGTGTGTGTGTCCTTCTCTCGCTCCTGGCCCTCGAGCTCCCTCGAGCTCCCTCGAGCCCCCTCGAGATCCCTCGAGCTCCTTCGCCCTCGAGATCTCGTGGCTCGGGCCACTCCTCGAGGCCCCGGGGGGGGCACGGCTCCGAAGCGGCGCGGGGCGTGGGCACGGTCTGGCCACATCTCGTGGGGCGCCTCGGGGGCGGGAGGCCCAGCCGCATGGCGCTGTAGTAGAAGTCCGTCAGGAGCTGGCACGCCGCGTGGTACCTGGAGGCCTCCATCTGCACGGCGTACTGCACCTGCGCGTGAGCATCGTCGAGCCGATCATGATCCCCACGTCGTCGTCGTCGTCGTCGTCGTCGTCGTCGTCGTCGTCGTCGTCGTCGTCGTCGTCGTCGTCGTCGTCGTCGTCGTCGTCGTCGTCGTCGTCGTCGTCGTCGTCGTCGTCGTCGTCGTCGTCGTCGTCGTCGTAGTCGGCGTCGGCGTCGGCGTCGGCGTCGGCGTCGGCGTCGGCGTCGGCATCGGCGTCGGCGTCGGCGTCGGCGTCGACGTCGGCGTCGGCGTCGGCGTCGGCGTCGGCGGCGGCGGCGGCGCGTCGGCGTCGGCGTCGGCGGCGGCGGCGGCGTCGGCGTAGTCGTCGTCGTCCGTCGTCGTCATCGTCGTCGTCGACCGATCCCTACCCCCACGGGCGGCGTGGCCTGACCCCAAAGGCCGACTTACCCCGTAGGTGGGGATATCGGCTGTTCCCTTCGAAGTTCGAGGGGCACATCCCCGACTGGGGTGGTGCAGTGGTGGGGATCGGGATGGAGATGTCAGGGCCCCGTAGACCCGGACACGCTAGACCCAGACACCCAACATCCCTCGAAACCAAATTTCCAAACGGCGGCACGAACAAAATACTGCACTGCAGCATTTCCATAATAAACCCGGATACAGGCCTCAAAAACCTGCAAGACCCTCCTAAACCCGGACACAAACCCGAATCCTGCAGCGCAGCAAACAAAACATGCAAGGGTGCTGAAAAACGTGTCCTTGCAGGAAAGGATATCGTTTCCTTGGTTTTCCGTGTCCTGGTTTATCTGTGTCCTGGTCTCAGGGGGCCTGAAGATGGGGATGTGGATAGGGACCAGTCAAACTATACTGAGCGCGCTACGATTCTGTGGAACTCTATACCACAAGGTACCGATACCGCTGCTCCACAGACCTCTCCAGGGGTGCGCTCTGACCAGGGGATCGAGGCGGATCCGACGGTGGCGGCGAGGGCCTCCCAGGAGGCGCAAGAAGGGAAATACACGCCTCGAGCCAACCATCCACCAATCGCCCCCTATTCGCCGCCAATGTCCGCTAAACTCGCCAAAAGAACACTTTCGGTGAGAGTCAAGGTTTCCGTAAAAACAAACCTAATGTGTGGCGAGCTGGATCCAAGGGCAGGGGTCGACAGAAGCAGCGTTTTGCGTGCTCGTTTCGTGTTCATCCTCGGGCGCTTCAAAACGGAAACGGTCCGACCGATTGCGCAAAAGAGCGTTGTGACGCAAATCCGAAGTCGTGATTGGCCAATGGTCGGCCCGATAATGAAAATACCAAGAAAACCCAGAATCGTGCATGGCCGAAGAACGTGACGCAGTCAACAAAGCCATGGCCCTGGCAAGACCCGAAGACCCGTGCGTTGCATTTGTTCCGCACTGGGCGGTCTCGCCAGGTCTCGGGCCCCGGGACGATCTCAGCTCAATCCCGCTCAAAAGATGCCACAGAAAGCGGGGGTCCAGGGCTCCAGCCGTGACTTCTCACAATGTTGTACCCCTTTGTCGCGACGCCAGCGGGCAACACAAAAGGCACGGCCCTGGCAGGAAGAGCGTTTCCGAGCCTCTGGGGCTGTAGGCGTTTCTGATATATATATATATATATATATATATATATATGTGTGCGCGTCACTTCCACCTGGGTCCAGGACGCCCACCACCCTTTTCTTAAGGAAACTAAAAGGTACCGATACCGCTACAACCCTGACCTCTCCCGGCGTGCGATCTGACCAGAATTGCGAGGCGAATCCAGCGGTGACGAGGAGGACCTCCCAGGAGGCCCAAAGACGGGGAAATCGGGCTCAGGGTAGAGGTATGGGCACCTGTTCCTCCTCCGATTTCTGGCACGGGTTTCGGCGCTTCCACTTGTGAGCCTGGGCAGCGACGGTCTCCACCTCCGACTCGACCCACCAGCCCTTCTGCAGCACCTCCAGCTGCTGGGCGCTCTCGTTGCGCCTCTCCTCCGTGAGCGCCCTCAGCGTGTCACCCAGGTCGTCGGCGCGCTGGTGCAGCTCCTCCTTCGTCTCGTCCTGCTTCCGCATGCTTGGGTACTCCTCGCTGAAGCTGTTGAACGTCGCGATGAACGCGTCCACGTGGGCCTGCCTGTCGTCGGGCCGCTGGAGGAAGCCGACGAAGCACTGCTGA